GGTATGTGAAGAGTTACAGAGGAAGTTTCCGTGATGTTGAAAATATTCCCATAGGTCCATGCAGAGAAAGTTTCTGTATAATAAATTAGAAAGAAAACAAAATTACTTTTGATCTTTTGCCCTTTATGTGCTGTACTGAGATGCATGTGGTACATGTTCTAGTGGCATCTACTTTAATGGAAATAATGTGAAAAGTTAAGTAAAAGGAAACAGGAGAACCTATATGAAATTAAGAAGTCAAAAGCTCACAGCCGTTTCTTAAAATAAAGAGGAGAAATTCTTAATAAAATATTGTATACTTCCTTGAGCTCTCTCTCTATCCTTTCCTGCATTTTTATTTTCCAGGAAAGAAAGGGCTCTCCTTTTTCATCCAATCCAAAAAGAAAAAAAGAAAGAAAAGAAGCTCGTTATTTCAGGTTCGAGATTCTTATGTATCTGCTTCCTATTACATGGCCCTGACAGCTTGGAACCTTGGTTCCTTTGGGAGGAACTTCTGCTGAACGTAAACAGACATATAATCACCAAAAACAAACTTGGGATAAGTTTCTCCCACTTGTTTTGTCTTCTCCACTAGCTGTGGTGCAGGAGCAATGGTGGCTTTCAAAGATGGATTGTAAAACGAAGCAATCGATCTCCTATTTCCATCAACGGAGCTCAAAACTCGGTGCCAAGCACTCTTGTACCGGCCATTGCTTAGGACCTCTATCTGATCACCGGTGTTGATAACTATGGCGTTTGGCAAAGGATGAACATCAATCCATTGCCCATCTTTCAGGACTTGAAGTCCCCCCACCTTGTCGTCTTGGAAGAGTAAGATCACGCCGCCTGCATCGGTGTGAGCTCGAAGCCCCTTCACTTTCTCAGGGTGAGGACATGGTGGGTAATGACTAACCTTGGTTCCAAAGAAGGCATTATCACCGTCTCCATCATTGAATGCCGTCTTGATGTATCCATTTGGTAATCCCAAGTTTTCATCCATAACTTGCATCACCTTTTCAGCTAATTTCTTCAACTCAAATCTGTAGTCCTTCATAATTTCCCTGCCATAAACATCAACAATTAACATTATACATTAACATACACATGCAAGCAGATCAAACATGAAATGCTTACTGGAATCCAGGTGTTTTGGATGGCCACTCATTATCATCTAACAGAGTGACAACATCTTCCCAATCTGCATCCTCCAATGTTACACCGCGCTCGTCCAACAACTCCACCACCTTTGACTTGTTGAAATTCTCTTCACGTTCCATCTTATAAAACTCAGATGAAACCTTCTTCACCCTCTCCAGCAACTCCACGGGGATTCCATGGTTCACCAGCTGCAACACAAAGTACAAAATTTTACACTTTGAATACACAAATAAACCAAAACCAATGCCGAATTCCCTTCCCACAGACAATGATAAGAAAAGGGTACCTGAAAGAAACCCCATTCTTGGCATGCATTTTCGATCTGAGCCAACGTTTTGGCCCTGTCATCACCATTGAGCTTAGAGAAATCAATCACAGGAACTGCCATTGAAATGATAGGAAAAGAAAAGTAATGAAAAGTGGTGTTAAAAAGATGAGTAGAAATGTTTAGCTAAGTCTGCAGTTTTTGTGGTTGAAAGGAGAAGAGGATTAGCCCTATTTATAGCAAAGCTAAAGCAAGTTTTCCCGCCATAATGGATCCGTCAACCATTTTTTTCTCTCTCTCGAAGTAGCCGTTGGGATGATGTATGGGACGGTGAAACAATACTGATTAATTAAATCAATAAAAACCAGGTCAATGCTTTGAGATGTACTCACCGGCAATCAAAAGAAAAAAAAATAGAATGATAACATTTTTTATGTAAGTTTAGAGGTTCAAATTTTGATATTGTGAATGTTCTAACTATATTTTTTTTATAAAAAGTAATTTAATACTATACTATTTAATCAAATTTTATAACTTTTAATCCATTTTTTTCTTAATTGTCAATTATTATCTCCCTTTTAAAAAATCTCTTTAATGATCAATAAGTAGCAAATTAGATACTTGTTGGTAACTGTTGGCACGTACCAAACCATCCTTCAAGTTTATGGAATGAATATGATAATGCTCTCTCAAATGTGTGGAACTGGAGTCACCTATCCAATTATTGGTCCCTATTTTATTAAACCCCAATGTCTTATTTTCACCATAATATAATCGACATGCCAAGTGTCATTATTCTTCATTCATGTGCACTTCTTTATTCAATTTCTAAATTAATTTACTTGAGGTGGGCTATCTATTATCATTATTTTTGAAGTTGTACCAGAGATGAAAGTTCAATTTTATGTTAAGAATGTAAATTCCTAAAAAAATTATATAAAAAAAATTAGTGGTGCGAAGTTAAATTATTAATAAGAAATTAAGAAATATATCTAAATTATATATGAATTAGAAATTTCTAGGAATACAACCAGGACGAACGCAAGGTTTTATGTTAGGAGTACAAACTTAGAAAGTTATAATATAAATGTAAAAATATAAAAGATGCAAAATTAGACCATCAATAAAAAATATAAAAAAAACACCTAAATTATATAATTGAAATTTCTAAAAGATACAACTGCACCCTCAACATCCCCTCAACCTATTTTGTCGCCCTTATATATATTCGAATCCAATACCTCTAAAGAAAGTATTTACTACTAAGACCAACTTAATAAGTTGCAGTATTCTTTGTTACTTGTACTTGAAACCTTTGCGGAGTCCAACATTTGCCTTGGTATGCCGTAGATCTTGTAGGGTGTAGCCGGCATTACCGTCTCCATGAATTGATGCACTGTTATACATGTTCATGTAGTAGGCGTAGTTCAAGGGTTAAGCAAAACAAGGTCAAACACTTCTTATTATAATTATAATCCTAATAAACAAAGCTTATCCCATATTATTGCATTGTCAACTCCATTATATTACTCTATTCCAGCTTCTTTTCTCTCCTTTTTATTGTTATCGTTAATTTGGGAAGGAGGAGGCTATTAAGGTTTAAATTACATAAAGGAATCTCGTATAAATTAATTCTATTATAAAAGTGGATCATTTAATTAGTCTTTACATAAATTTATTGAGTGACTTTAGTAGTAAATATGAATATTATTTTCTTTAGAGAATTCAAGTTCAAACAATTATGTCTGTAAGATGCACGTACATTGATAATAATTAAGAAATGTTATAAACAAATATTACTTTATAATTTTCACGTAAATTCAAAACAGCACAAATGATTCATGTGCAAACTTGCATCATACATGTATTTGAATTTTTCATAACATCTTACGATATATATAAAACCTTAATAATTTGTACTCTAATATAAAATCATGCACTCGTCCTAAATTATATGTAACCCTATTATAATTTTCTAATAGAACATACTTATTCCATGAACTTTATTGAACACATAACATCACATATTTAATTATAACAATGTTTAATGTGAGATTACTTCATAACTAATCCGATTATTTTTAAGATATACGCCAGCAAACTAAGATCACAAATTAAATTAAATTTATTGATGTACTTTGTTTGTACCTAGAAATTAAGCACTGTATAAAGAATACATGATGGATCAAACTGACAAGATTGCATGCATAATTGGCATGTTTTGGATCTTATGATACACATTGATCATGCATGCATGCATACATGGTTCTAATCATTAACTATCCAGCTCTATGCTTTGATTAAATTATTCTCTCATTAATTTATGCCACTTTGTTTCAGGGGCGAATCTAAAAGGTTGGCAAGGCCCGGGCACCTAATATTTGTCAAATTTCCTTTTATCCCTGTCATGTTTTCGCAAATTTCATTTTAGTTCTCTTAATTAATATTTGTCAAAACATTAAACGAGATTGTTTATGAACATAAATGAACTAGTCGATAAACGAACAAGTCGATAAATAATCTTGTTCGTGAACATAAATGAATTGAATATATCTTTATTCGTGTTCGTTCATTTATTAAATTGATAAAAAAAATATTCATATTCATTTATTTAACTTAACAAATGAATATAAATAAACAGTTCAACAAACATTATATTCATTTACACTCCTATACTTGTTTTAATAAATAAACGGTAAATAAGACATATTATTAAAGTTGAAATATGTCAATTTGTATTTTCTAATAATTCAAAATTTAAAGCTTAATTCTTATATCGTGTTAAAAGTAGAGTTTTATATTATTTAAAAATTCTGTATTTTCTAATTTTATTTATTTATTTATTTAACAATTATAATAAAATAAAATAAATTTTATTATCCAAAAAAATTGGATTTTATCAATTTTAATATTCAAATTTCTATACTTCAAAAGTTAGAAGTACAATCCTAATTATACGAAAATATGCGCTAATAATTGAGAGATAAAATCAGAAGAATGGAAGCTCTCTAACACTCTCATTGATTAAAAATCATGTTGAATAATATTGATATTGAATTAAGGAACGGATGTGAGATTTTATATTAGGGGACGGACTTGAATTTATAAAATTTTAGAGTGACGAAAAATATTTTCAATAGAAAATATAAAGAAAAAAATTTAAAATATACAATTTTAAATTTTTAGGGGACGATCGTCACCATTCATCCCTTCGATCTATTCTTAATTGGACCACGGCCGAGGTATTAAGACAAATAAATTAGAAGAAATTTTAAGTTTTTTTAAGAATATTAAAAATGAATGAAACAAAATTTCAAAAATTAAATTAATATTTATTAAAAATCTAGAGATTAAATTTAAAATCAATTATTTTATTAACATATTACATCATTAATAGATGAAATAATTAAAATATAACAAATTAATAATAAATAGTGTAAATATTATTTTTTAAAGTTTAATGACTAAAATAAAAATAAAGGCAAACATAAATTACTTCCTGCTATGGTATGCCATTATTTTTTACTTGTAAGTAAATAGTAAGTATATAAATTTCCTTTCTTTCTTCAAGCTTCTATCACAAAAGCCAAGAAAAGAAATAGGGTATGTTTTTATGTTTATTTGATGATCCAAACGGAAGCCTTTCATTCTTCCTTTTTTCACTCTTCTCTCCTCTAATCTCACTATCCCTACCTCTCTTTACTCTCCGCTCGTACATTTAGCCAAAAAAAAACCCCATAAAATCTTTGACCAGAAAAAATGGATTAAAAGTGAAGATGCACTTAGAAATCTTTCAAGAAAAACTGAATTTGAATTAAGAAAAGTGGCAAAAGAGCCAAAAGGTAATCTTCGTATCAGGAAAAAAGAGGAAACTTATTTTCCCAGATCCTTATTTTTGGTTGTTTACACTGGCTTTCTCTTTCACTACCCCAGATCCTTTTTCTTTCATAAACCCCTTCAAGCTGTTTCAATATTTTCTTTTATGGGTATCTTTGTTTCTTTTCTGGATTTTTAGTCGCATGCAGGATTAAGGTTTCTCTTCTTATTTCTTTTTGTTTGTTTTAAATTCAGGGTTTAGAGGGCGTATGCATTTGTCCAAGCAATCAATTATTTTGGTGATTTTAGAGTATTGGGTCTGCTTCAAAACGGAGGTTAAGGACTGACTTTGAAATATTAGATTTATTTAACCATTTATTTTCTTTGGAGGATTTTGTTGGAGGGGGTTTCTGATGGGGAGCACCGATGAGCCCAACATAAGGGACATTGATGCGTCGGTGGGTGGCTTGGTTTGGGTCCGACGCAGAAACGGTTCTTGGTGGCCGGGTCGGATTATGGGCCTTGATGAGCTCTCCGAGGGTTGTTTGGTTTCTCCAAGATCCGGCACCCCTGTTAAGCTTCTTGGTCGCAAAGATGCAAGCGTGTGAGCCCATTTTTAATCTCTTAATCACTTTTTAGATTTCATTTGGATAGGGTTTAATGGCTTACATTCCTATTGACGATTCATTGTAATTGTTTTCTTGTATTTACATGTATTTGTTTAGTAGTTTGATAGTTATTTCAATTTTGGATTCTTTTTATTCCTTGATCAATAATATAAGATGAGAGGGGAAGAATTTGCTTGTATTACATATATAAAATTATCTATGGTTCCGTTTTGGGGAGAAGATTGCTAGCTTGTGGTTTTGGGCTAGAACTCGCACTTGTCTTGGTATCTATGGTAACATATGGTGGAAAATGGAGTATTTGGATCAAATTGAAATGCCTGCTTGTTTGCTTTGGTGCATTATGCTTGTTGTTTGTGCTTGTAGACGACCATTTAATTCATGAGGTATACTATCTTGGGAATAAAATCTTGTGTGGCTCTTTTGGAACTAACCGAAACTTTGACTTCTGGTAAATTGAGAATATTTTTTCATTTAGCATTGTTGATTTTATGCTAGACTGATCTGCATTTTACTCTCTAAGAGCCCTTTATAAATGTTGTAGTGAATAGTCATTAACAAATTTCTAAATCAGTTAGGTCGTTGAGTGTTTGTTCTGTCACACAGTTGTAGAGGTTGTAACCGTCATTTGTCACCTTTTAGCTTTCGAATTATATATCGATTCATTAGAAAAATAACATAACTAACCGATGTTTGAATAAATGACTGCTTTTTTCTTTTTTAGATAATGACAAATTAGGTTCAAGGTTTTACCTTTATATACCATCATTATCTTGACTGAACTTCCATCAAATAAATTTTTTCTCTAGAATGTTTATCTCTGAAGACTGAAATATGTTGCTCCAATGATCGTCATCAAGTGGAAAGAGTTTACTGTTCTTGGAATATGTTCTCATTACTTAACTTTCTTGATTAAATCTTCATCGTTTTTGGCTTTAGGGACTGGTATAATCTTGAAAAGTCTAAGAGGGTGAAGGCCTTCCGTTGTGGAGAATATAATGAATGTATTGAGAAAGCAAAGGCTTCTGCAGCAAATTCTAACAAGAGAGCAGTTAAATATGCTCGAAGAGAAGATGCTATTCTTCATGCTCTTGAAATTGAGAGTGCACGTTTAGGCAAGGATCATCCAGATTATTTCTCTAGAAAAGATAATTCTGGTGGTGACAAGGGGAGTTTGGCCAGAGAATCACCCACCGTGTCACATTCTGGGAAAGAAAATGACATGTCTGATGAAATGAGTGGATCTGAGGATGCTTCAGATTCAGCTCCAGAATTATCTCAGTCTGGGATATCCTTTGAAGAGCCAAATAATATTAATGGTACTAAGGGGCACTCTAAGATGACAAAGAGAAGAAAAACCCCAAATGATTCCGAGGATGATGGATCGGAAAGAATCAAGCGCATGAGAGGACTTGAGGATCTAGGTATGGGTGTAGGATCAAAAAGAAAAGCCCAGGCTGCAGATGCACTTGAGATAGTTCAGCAATATAGTTCTTTATTTTATGAATCAAATGCTGGAAGTTTCCTTTTTAATGGAGATTCCATAAATGGTAGCAGAAATCATTCATCATCAGTGAAAAGAAAGAGATCTCAGGTGGCAAATGTTCATGAATTCCTCAAAAGAAAAAACCGTCGTAGACCATTAACCAAGGTTTTGGAGAGTACAGCTATTGTGTCAGTTCCAGTTGTTTGTGATGAACTTACAAGCTCAAGTGGTTCACCCCGTTGGGGACTTTCTGACAGCAAGATTTCAGGAATTGATTCTAATGAATCACGCAAGATTTGAGTTGGTTCAATTAAGTCATGTTTTTTTTTGGTGGTGCATTGATTACTGCAATTAGCAGTAACTTCTTGAATGATTTCAGTATTTAGTGCTGGAATTAGTTAGAAGAGGTGTGTATGTTTGAACTTGAGGCTTGTTGTTGATGGTAAGGTGTGGAAACATCTGCTAGGAAGTTATTATAAAGCAAAATGAAGAAACACTCTCAATGTCGCTTGTTTGATACATAGCAGTTGTAACTGCATTTTTTGTGTTTGATGCGCAGGTTGCTTCTTTCTTGCATTATCAAGAGAACATGAATGTTCTTGTTGAACCTGATGTCCATGACATTTTTGCTAGAATCCCTGGATTTGGATTTGTTCAAACCTTCTACAGTCAAGATACTAGGTACTTTATGATTAATTTTTCCATAAAGTTGATGATATTGTGTTCCTCAAACCTGATTGGAATCCTACTTGATCTTATGCTCTTTCGAAGTGATCTTCACGAGAGGGTTGATTTTGTGGCATGCTTGGGTGGAGATGGGGTTATATTGCATGCGTCAAATTTATTTAGAGGTGCTGTACCACCTGTTGTATCATTTAATCTTGGATCTCTTGGATTTCTCACTTCCCACACTGTAAGTTACTCACTTTTTGTGATCTTTGTTATGGATATAGAGTGTCCTCATAATTCCCATTGGTTTAACCTTTTTCTACCATTTATGATTGATATAGTTTGAAGACTACATGGAAGACTTGAAGCAGGTCATTCATGGTAATAACACAGCAGATGGTGTTTATATAACTCTTAGAATGCGCTTACGATGTGAAATTTTCGAAATGGTAAAGCAGTTCCGGGGAAAATATTTGATGTCCTAAATGAGGTTGTTGTGGACCGGGGTTCTAATCCATACCTTTCTAAGGTTGAATGTTATGAGCATGACCGACTCATAACAAAGGTTAGTTAATTATTTTCTAGGAAAAGAAAAGGAAAGAAAATTTGTGCCTCAATTGTCATGTAAAATTGAGTTCTAACTGTCATTTTGGATTATAAATAATTTGGACTCCTGTTGTCACCGACAAATGTGGCAGTTTATTCTAGGCTGTAAATGATATATCTTATGTAGCTTTAGAGGTGGTCAATCTTTTGTGACTTTCCTATGCTTTTGTTTAATTAAAAATATGCCTTTAGGTGCAAGGTGATGGAGTCATAGTAGCCACACCAACCGGGAGTACTGCTTATTCTACAGCTGCAGGAGGTTCCATGGTAGGTTGTCCTTTCAAGTTTTCAAAACACGAAGTTTATTCTATATAGATCATTTGAGTATCATGGTTATTCTGTAACTAACAACATACTATTGCTAATGCAGGTTCATCCAAATGTTCCTTGCATGCTTTTTACACCTATCTGCCCACATTCCCTCTCATTTAGACCAGTTATACTTCCAGATTCTGCAAAGCTTGAATTGAAGGTAAAATTATTCTCATGAAAATACCATTCATAGTTCATTTTAGAACTTTCCCCCATCTAACAAGAATCTGGTGGAATTCTTATGCTTTGGTTTAAACTAGTTTCGTTATTTCTTTAATTGGTCAAACTAGCTTTCTACTTTTTCAATGGATATGTCATTTCTCATGTTCTATATTTGAAATAGTTCATTACTGTTTTGTTGTGAATTATGGTTCGTTGCTTGTCCAAAGACGCTGACATGGGAAGAATACATTTAGTTCTTTTATGTCTTAGTTTGCCAGCATATTATCTACATTACGAAGGTGGGCGGGCATCTGAGTGGCTATTCTAATCTTCATGTCAAATATTTATTGTATTTTTGAAGGATTACCATCTATTGGCTATTTGGACCCTTTTTGCACCTTTTTTTCTTTCTTTTCATGTAATGTGCTTAATAATAGCTATGTTAGATGCTAAAATCTCAATTAGCTTGAAAGGAGTAAATGTTGAGACGTACACAAACGAAGCTGTATTTCTGAAATTTTTCATCTTTTTCATAAAGGTTTTGGCCTCGTGGATAGTTGTGGGTTTCTATTTTACAAACTGAGGCCATTTGTTGCTAAGCCATGCATTATCGAATTGTATGAATATGGCACAATTTGTCAGAGTTCTTTAAAGCTAACATCACAGTATTTGTATCTGAAAGAAATTTCAGTCAAGGTACCAAATATATGTATGATATGTAAAGCACTGAAACATTGTTGTTGGTTTCACAGATCCCTGACGATGCTCGAAGCAATGCTTGGGTTTCTTTCGATGGGAAGAGAAGGCAACAACTCTCTCGAGGACATTCAATCAGAATATCTATGAGCCAGCACCCTCTACCAACTGTCAATAAATCTGACCAAACAGGTGATTGGTTCCACAGCTTGATTCGCTGCCTGAACTGGAATGAGAGATTGGATCAAAAAGCCCTCGAAGGCATCTGACACTGGGTAGCTAGTATCTTCATCCTCAAGGTAGGTTGAACGTCCATGTAAATTGATGTACAGATATAAATTGGAAAGAGTAAAAACAGAGTTTAATACACACATTCTGAATGCTACTCATTACCAACATATACTTCCCCATAAAAGTAGAGTTGGTCAATTTTCACCCTTGCATTGTACAAATACTGTCAGACACGATACTGGCAATTCCTTTGAAATAAAAAGAAAAGTTTCTAATATATTATTTTATTTTGTGAATTATATAACAGCTAGTTTTATGCATCAAAGTTGTAATTTATCCTCAAACTCTTGCATGTATACTTCTTCCTGGTACTTTCTGCCTGTATATTTATGCAGTACCATGGGGGGAATGGTATGTGAAGAGTTACAGAGGAAGTTTCCGTGATATTGAAAATATTCCCATAGGTCCATGCAGAGAAAGTTTCTGTATAATAAATTAGAAAGAAAACAAAATTACTTTTGATCTTTTGCCCTTTATGTGCTGTACTGAGATGCATGTGGTACATGTTCTAGTGGCATCTACTTTAATGGAAATAATGTGAAAAGTTAAGTAAAAGGAAACAGGAGAACCTATATGAAATTAAGAAGTCAAAAGCTCACAGCCGTTTCTTAAAATAAAGAGGAGAAATTCTTAATAAAATATTGTATACTTCCTTGAGCTCTCTCTCTATCCTTTCCTGCATTTTTATTTTCCAGGAAAGAAAGGGCTCTCCTTTTTCATCCAATCCAAAAAGAAAAAAAGAAAGAAAAGAAGCTCGTTATTTCAGGTTCGAGATTCTTATGTATCTGCTTCCTATTACATGGCCCTGACAGCTTGGAACCTTGGTTCCTTTGGGAGGAACTGCTGCTGAACGTAAACAGACATATAATCACCAAAAACAAACTTGGGATAAGTTTCTCCCACTTGTTTTGTCTTCTCCACTAGCTGTGGTGCAGGAGCAATGGTGGCTTTCAAAGATGGATTGTAAAACGAAGCAATCGGTCTCCTATTTCCATCAACGGAGCGCAAAACTCGGTGCCAAGCACTCTTGTACCGGCCATTGCTTAGGACCTCTATCTGATCACCGGTGTTGATAACTATGGCGTTTGGCAAAGGATGAACATCAATCCATTGCCCATCTTTCAGGACTTGAAGTCCCCCCACCTTGTCGTCTTGGAAGAGTAAGATCACGCCGCCTGCATCGGTGTGAGCTCGAAGCCCCTTCACTTTCTCAGGGTGAGGACATGGTGGGTAATGACTAACCTTGGTTCCAAAGAAGGCATTATCACCGTCTCCATCATTGAATGCCGTCTTGATGTATCCATTTGGTAATCCCAAGTTTTCATCCATAACTTGCATCACCTTTTCAGCTAATTTCTTCAACTCAAATCTGTAGTCCTTCATAATTTCCCTGCCATAAACATCAACAATTAACATTATACATTAACATACACATGCAAGCAGATCAAACATGAAATGCTTACTGGAATCCAGGTGTTTTGGATGGCCACTCATTATCATCTAACAGAGTGACAACATCTTCCCAATCTGCATCCTCCAATGTTACACCGCGCTCGTCCAACAACTCCACCACCTTTGACTTGTTGAAATTCTCTTCACGTTCCATCTTATAAAACTCAGATGAAACCTTCTTCACCCTCTCCAGCAACTCCACGGGGATTCCATGGTTCACCAGCTGCAACACAAAGTACAAAATTTTACACTTTGAATACACAAATAAACCAAAACCAATGCCGAATTCCCTTCCCACAGACAATGATAAGAAAAGGGTACCTGAAAGAAACCCCATTCTTGGCATGCATTTTCGATCTGAGCCAACGTTTTGGCCCTGTCATCACCATTGAGCTTAGAGAAATCAATCACAGGAACTGCCATTGAAATGATAGGAAAAGAAAAGTAATGAAAAGTGGTGTTAAAAAGATGAGTAGAAATGTTTAGCTAAGTCTGCAGTTTTTGTGGTTGAAAGGAGAAGAGGATTAGCCCTATTTATAGCAAAGCTAAAGCAAGTTTTCCCGCCATAATGGATCCGTCAACCATTTTTTTTCTCTCTCTCGAAGTAGCCGTTGGGATGATGTATGGGACGGTGAAACAATACTGATTAATTAAATCAATAAAAACCAGGTCAATGCTTTGAGATGTACTCACCGGCAATCAAAGAAAAAAAAAATAGAATGATAACATTTTTTATGTAAGTTTAGAGGTTCAAATTTTGATATTGTGAATGTTCTAACTATATTTTTTTATAAAAAGTAATTTAATACTATACTATTTAATCAAATTTTATAACTTTTAATCCATTTTTTTCTTAATTGTCAATTATTATCTCCCTTTTAAAAAATCTCTTTAATGATCAATAAGTAGCAAATTAGATACTTGTTGGTAACTGTTGGCACGTACCAAACCATCCTTCAAGTTTATGGAATGAATATGATAATGCTCTCTCAAATGTGTGGAACTGGAGTCACCTATCCAATTATTGGTCCCTATTTTATTAAACCCAATGTCTTATTTTCACCATAATATAATCGACATGCCAAGTGTCATTATTCTTCATTCATGTGCACTTCTTTATTCAATTTCTAAATTAATTTACTTGAGGTGGGCTATCTATTATCATTATTTTTGAAGTTGTACCAGAGATGAAAGTTCAATTTTATGTTAAGAATGTAAATTCCTAAAAAAATTATATAAAAAAAATTAGTGGTGCGAAGTTAAATTATTAATAAGAAATTAAGAAATATATCTAAATTATATATGAATTAGAAATTTCTAGGAATACAACCAGGACGAACGCAAGGTTTTATGTTAGGAGTACAAACTTAGAAAGTTATAATATAAATGTAAAAATATAAAAGATGCAAAATTAGACCATCAATAAAAAATATAAAAAAAACACCTAAATTATATAATTGAAATTTCTAAAAGATACAACTGCACCCTCAACATCCCCTCAACCTATTTTGTCGCCCTTATATATATATTCGAATCCAATACCTCTAAAGAAAGTATTTACTACTAAGACCAACTTAATAAGTTGCAGTATTCTTTGTTACTTGTACTTGAAACCTTTGCGGAGTCCAACATTTGCCTTGGTATGCCGTAGATCTTGTAGGTGTAGCCGGCATTACCGTCTCCATGAATTGATGCACTGTTATACATGTTCATGTAGTAGGCGTAGTTCAAGGGTTAAGCAAAACAAGGTCAAACACTTCTTATTATAATTATAATCCTAATAAACAAAGCTTATCCATATTATTGCATTGTCAACTCCATTATATTACTCTATTCCAGCTTCTTTTCTCTCCTTTTTATTGTTATCGTTAATTTGGGAAGGAGGAGGCTATTAAGGTTTAAATTACATAAAGGAATCTCGTATAAATTAATTCTATTATAAAAGTGGATCATTTAATTAGTCTTTACATAAATTTATTGAGTGACTTTAGTAGTAAATATGAATATTATTTTCTTTAGAGAATTCAAGTTCAAACAATTATGTCTGTAAGATGCACGTACATTGATAATAATTAAGAAATGTTATAAACAAATATTACTTTATAATTTTCACGTAAATTCAAAACAGCACAAATGATTCATGTGCAAACTTGCATCATACATGTATTTGAATTTTTCATAACATCTTACGATATATAAAACCTTAATAATTTGTACTCTAATATAAAATCATGCACTCGTCCTAAATTATATGTAACCCTATTATAATTTTCTAATAGAACATACTTATTCCATGAACTTTATTGAACACATAACATCACATATTTAATTATAACAATGTTTAATGTGAGATTACTTCATAACTAATCCGATTATTTTTAAGATATACGCCAGCAAACTAAGATCACAAATTAAATTAAATTTATTGATGTACTTTGTTTGTACCTAGAAATTAAGCACTGTATAAAGAATACATGATGGATCAAACTGACAAGATTGCATGCATAATTGGCATGTTTTGGATCTTATGATACACATTGATCATGCATGCATGCATACATGGTTCTAATCATTAACTATCCAGCTCTATGCTTTGATTAAATTATTCTCTCATTAATTTATGCCACTTTGTTTCAGGGGCGAATCTAAAAGGTTGGCAAGGCCCGGGCACCTAATATTTGTCAAATTTCCTTTTATCCCTGTCATGTTTTCGCAAATTTCATTTTAGTTCTCTTAATTAATATTTGTCAAAACATTAAACGAGATTGTTTATGAACATAAATGAACTAGTCGATAAACGAACAAGTCGATAAATAATCTTGTTCGTGAACATAAATGAATTGAATATATCTTTATTCGTGTTCGTTCATTTATTAAATTGATAAAAAAATATTCATATTCATTTATTTAACTTAACAAATGAATATAAATAACAGTTCAACAAACATTATTCATTTACACTCCTATACTTGTTTTAATAAATAAACGGTAAATAAGACATATTATTAAAGTTGAAATATGTCAATTTGTATTTTCTAATAATTCAAAATTTAAAGCTTAATTCTTATATCGTGTTAAAAGTAGAGTTTTATATTATTTAAAAATTCTGTATTTTCTAATTTTATTTATTTATTTATTTAACAATTATAATAAAATAAAATAAATTTTATTATCCAAAAAATTGGATTTTATCAATTTTAATATTCAAATTTCTATACTTCAAAAGTTAGAAGTACAATCCTAATTATACGAAAATATGCGCTAATAATTGAGAGATAAAATCAGAAGAATGGAAGCTCTCTAACACTCTCATTGATTAAAATCATGTTGAATAATATTGATATTGAATTAAGGAACGGATGTGAGATTTTATATTAGGGGACGGACTTGAATTTATAAAATTTTAGAGTGACGAAAAATATTTTCAATAGAAAATATAAAGAAAAAAATTTAAAATATACAATTTTAAATTTTTAGGGGACGATCGTCACCATTCATCCCTTCGATCTATTCTTAATTGGACCACGGCCGAGGTATTAAGACAAATAAATTAGAAGAAATTTTAAGTTTTTTTAAGAATATTAAAAATGAATGAAACAAAATTTCAAAAATTAAATTAATATTTATTAAAAATCTAGAGATTAAATTTAAAATCAATTATTTTATTAACATATTACATCATTAATAGATGAAATAATTAAAATATAACAAATTAATAATAAATAGTGTAAATATTATTTTTTAAAGTTTAATGACTAAAATAAAAATAAAGGCAAACATAAATTACTTCCTGCTATGGTATGCCATTATTTTTACTTGTAAGTAAATAGTAAGTATATAAATTTCCTTTCTTTCTTCAAGCTTCTATCACAAAAGCCAAGAAAAGAAATAGGGTGTGTTTTTATGTTTATTTGATGATCCAAACGGAAGCCTTTCATTCTTCCTTTTTTCACTCTTCTCTCCTCTAATCTCACTATCCCTACCTCTCTTTACTCTCCGCTCGTACATTTAGCCAAAAAAAAACCCCATAAAATCTTTGACCAGAAAAAATGGATTAAAAGTGAAGATGCACTTAGAAATCTTTCAAGAAAAACTGAATTTGAATTAAGAAAAGTGGCAAAAGAGCCAAAAGGTAATCTTCGTATCAGGAAAAAGAGGAAACTTATTTTCCCAGATCCTTATTTTTGGTTGTTTACACTGGCTTTCTCTTTCACTACCCCAGATCCTTTTTCTTTCATAAACCCCTTCAAGCTGTTTCAATATTTTCTTTTATGGGTATCTTTGTTTTTTTCTGGATTTTTAGTCGCATGCAGGATTAAGGTTTCTCTTCTTATTTCTTTTTGTTTGTTTTAAATTCAGGGTTTAGAGGGCGTATGCATTTGTCCAAGCAATCAATTATTTTGGTGATTTTAGAGTATTGGGTCTGCTTCAAAACGGAGGTTAAGGACTGACTTTGAAATATTAGATTTATTTAACCATTTATTTTCTTTGGAGGATTTTGTTGGAGGGGGTTTCTGATGGGGAGCACCGATGAGCCCAACATAAGGGACATTGATGCGTCGGTGGGTGGCTTGGTTTGGGTCCGACGCAGAAACGGTTCTTGGTGGCCGGGTCGGATTATGGGCCTTGATGAGCTCTCCGAGGGTTGTTTGGTTTCTCCAAGATCCGGCACCCCTGTTAAGCTTCTTGGTCGCAAAGATGCAAGCGTGTGAGCCCATTTTTAATCTCTTAATCACTTTTTAGATTCATTTGGATAGGGTTTAATGGCTTACATTCCTATTGACGATTCATTGTAATTGTTTTCTTGTATTTACATGTATTTGTTTAGTAGTTTGATAGTTATTTCAATTTGGATTCTTTTTATTCCTTGATCAATAATATAAGATGAGAGGGGAAGAATTTGCTTGTATTACATATATAAAATTATCTATGGTTCCGTTTGGGGAGAAGATTGCTAGCTTGTGGTTTGGGCTAGAACTCGCACTTGTCTTGGTATCTATGGTAACATATGGTGGAAAATGGAGTATTTGGATCAAATTGAAATGCCTGCTTGTTTGCTTTGGTGCATTATGCTTGTTGTTTGTGCTTGTAGACGACCATTTAATTCATGAGGTATACTATCTTGGGAATAAAATCTTGTGTGGCTCTTTTGGAACTAACCGAAACTTTGACTTCTGGTAATTGAGAATATTTTTTCATTTAGCATTGTTGATTTTATGCTAGACTGATCTGCATTTTACTCTCTAAGAGCCCTTTATAAATGTTGTAGTGAATAGTCATTAACAAATTTCTAAATCAGTTAGGTCGTTGAGTGTTTGTTCTGTCACACAGTTGTAGAGGTTGTAACCGTCATTTGTCACCTTTTAGCTTTCGAATTATATATCGATTCATTAGAAAAATAACATAACTAACCGATGTTTGAATAAATGACTGCTTTTTTCTTTTTAGATAATGACAAATTAGGTTCAAGGTTTTACCTTTATATACCATCATTATCTTGACTGAACTTCCATCAAATAAATTTTTTCTCTAGAATGTTTATCTCTGAAGACTGAAATATGTTGCTCCAATGATCGTCATCAAGTGGAAAGAGTTTACTGTTCTTGGAATATGTTCTCATTACTTAACTTTCTTGATTAAATCTTCATCGTTTTTGGCTTTAGGGACTGGTATAATCTTGAAAAGTCTAAGAGGGTGAAGGCCTTCCGTTGTGGAGAATATAATGAATGTATTGAGAAAGCAAAGGCTTCTGCAGCAAATTCTAACAAGAGAGCAGTTAAATATGCTCGAAGAGAAGATGCTATTCTTCATGCTCTTGAAATTGAGAGTGCACGTTTAGGCAAGGATCATCCAGATTATTTCTCTAGAAAAGATAATTCTGGTGGTGACAAGGGGAGTTTGGCCAGAGAATCACCCACCGTGTCACATTCTGGGAAAGAAATGACATGTCTGATGAAATGAGTGGATCTGAGGATGCTTCAGATTCAGCTCCAGAATTATCTCAGTCTGGGATATCCTTTGAAGAGCCAAATAATATTAATGGTACTAAGGGGCACTCTAAGATGACAAAGAGAAGAAAAACCCCAATGATTCCGAGGATGATGGATCGGAAAGAATCAAGCGCATGAGAGGACTTGAGGATCTAGGTATGGGTGTAGGATCAAAAAAAAAGCCCAGGCTGCAGATGCACTTGAGATAGTTCAGCATATAGTTCTTTATTTTATGAATCAAATGCTGGAAGTTTCCTTTTTAATGGAGATTCCATAAATGGTAGCAGAAATCATTCATCATCAGTGAAAAGAAAGAGATCTCAGGTGGCAAATGTTCATGAATTCCTCAAAAGAAAAAACCGTCGTAGACCATTAACCAAGGTTTTGGAGAGTACAGCTATTGTGTCAGTTCCAGTTGTTTGTGATGAACTTACAAGCTCAAGTGGTTCACCCCGTTGGGGACTTTCTGACAGCAAGATTTCAGGAATTGATTCTAATGAATCACGCAAGATTGAGTTGGTTCAATTAAGTCATGTTTTTTTTGGTGGTGCATTGATTACTGCAATTAGCAGTAACTTCTTGAATGATTTCAGTATTTAGTGCTGGAATTAGTTAGAAGAGGTGTGTATGTTTGAACTTGAGGCTTGTTGTTGATGGTAAGGTGTGGAAACATCTGCTAGGAATTATTAAAGCAAAATGAAGAAACACTCTCAATGTCGCTTGTTTGATACATAGCAGTTGTAACTGCATTTTTTGTGTTTGATGCGCAGGTTGCTTCTTTCTTGCATTATCAAGAGAACATGAATGTTCTTGTTGAACCTGATGTCCATGACATTTTTGCTAGAATCCCTGGATTTGGATTTGTTCAAACCTTCTACAGTCAAGATACTAGGTACTTTATGATTAATTTTTCCATAAAGTTGATGATATTGTGTTCCTCAAACCTGATTGGAATCCTACTTGATCTTATGCTCTTTCGAAGTGATCTTCACGAGAGGGTTGATTTTGTGGCATGCTTGGGTGGAGATGGGGTTATATTGCATGCGTCAAATTTATTTAGAGGTGCTGTACCACCTGTTGTATCATTTAATCTTGGATCTCTTGGATTTCTCACTTCCCACACTGTAAGTTACTCACTTTTGTGATCTTTGTTATGGATATAGAGTGTCCTCATAATTCCCATTGGTTTAACCTTTTTCTACCATTTATGATTGATATAGTTTGAAGACTACATGGAAGACTTGAAGCAGGTCATTCATGGTAATAACACAGCAGATGGTGTTTATATAACTCTTAGAATGCGCTTACGATGTGAAATTTTCGAAATGGTAAAGCAGTTCCGGGGAAAATATTTGATGTCCTAAATGAGGTTGTTGTGGACCGGGTTCTAATCCATACCTTTCTAAGGTTGAATGTTATGAGCATGACCGACTCATAACAAAGGTTAGTTAATTATTTTCTAGGAAAAGAAAAGGAAAGAAAATTTGTGCCTCAATTGTCATGTAAAATTGAGTTCTAACTGTCATTTTGGATTATAAATAATTTGGACTCCTGTTGTCACCGACAAATGTGGCAGTTTATTCTAGGCTGTAAATGATATATCTTATGTAGCTTTAGAGGTGGTCAATCTTTTGTGACTTTCCTATGCTTTTGTTTAATTAAAAATATGCCTTTAGGTGCAAGGTGATGGAGTCATAGTAGCCACACCAACCGGGAGTACTGCTTATTCTACAGCTGCAGGAGGTTCCATGGTAGGTTGTCCTTTCAAGTTTTCAAAAACACGAAGTTTATTCTATATAGATCATTTTGAGTATCATGGTTATTCTGTAACTAACAACATACTATTGCTAATGCAGGTTCATCCAAATGTTCCTTGCATGCTTTTTACACCTATCTGCCCACATTCCCTCTCATTTAGACCAGTTATACTTCCAGATTCTGCAAAGCTTGAATTGAAGGTAAAATTATTCTCATGAAAATACCATTCATAGTTCATTTTAGAACTTTCCCCCATCTAACAAGAATCTGGTGGAATTCTTATGCTTTGGTTTAAACTAGTTTCGTTATTTCTTTAATTGGTCAAACTAGCTTTCTACTTTTTCAATGGATATGTCATTTCTCATGTTCTATATTTGAAATAGTTCATTACTGTTTTGTTGTGAATTATGGTTCGTTGCTTGTCCAAAGACGCTGACATGGAAGAATACATTTAGTTCTTTTATGTCTTAGTTTGCCAGCATATTATCTACATTACGAAGGTGGGCGGGCATCTGAGTGGCTATTCTAATCTTCATGTCAAATATTTATTGTATTTTTGAAGGATTACCATCTATTGGCTATTTGGACCCTTTTTGCACCTTTTTTTCTTTCTTTTCATGTAATGTGCTTAATAATAGCTATGTTAGATGCTAAATCTCAATTAGCTTGAAAGGAGTAAATGTTGAGACGTACACAAACGAAGCTGTATTTCTGAAATTTTTCATCTTTTTCATAAAGGTTTTGGCCTCGTGGATAGTTGTGGGTTTCTATTTTACAAACTGAGGCCATTTGTTGCTAAGCCATGCATTATCGAATTGTATGAATATGGCACAATTTGTCAGAGTTCTTTAAAGCTAACATCACAGTATTTGTATCTGAAAGAAATTCAGTCAAGGTACCAAATATATGTATGATATGTAAAGCACTGAAACATTGTTGTTGGTTTCACAGATCCCTGACGATGCTCGAAGCAATGCTTGGGTTCTTTCGATGGGAAGAGAAGGCAACAACTCTCTCGAGGACATTCAATCAGAATATCTATGAGCCAGCACCCTCTACCAACTGTCAATAAATCTGACCAAACAGGTGATTGGTTCCACAGCTTGATTCGCTGCCTGAACTGGAATGAGAGATTGGATCAAAAAGCCCTCGAAGGCATCTGACACTGGGTAGCTAGTATCTTCATCCTCAAGGTAGGTTGAACGTCCATGTAAATTGATGTACAGATATAAATTGGAAAGAGTAAAAACAGAGTTTAATACACACATTCTGAATGCTACTCATTACCAACATATACTTCCCCATAAAAGTAGAGTTGGTCAATTTTCACCCTTGCATTGTACAAATACTGTCAGACACGATACTGGCAATTCCTTTGAAATAAAAAGAAAAGTTTCTAATATATTATTTTATTTTGTGAATTATATAACAGCTAGTTTTATGCATCAAAGTTGTAATTTATCCTCAAACTCTTGCATGTATACTTCTTCCTGGTACTTTCTGCCTGTATATTTATGCAGTACCATGGGGGGAATGGTATGTGAAGAGTTACAGAGGAAGTTTCCGTGATATTGAAAATATTCCCATAGGTCCATGCAGAGAAAGTTTCTGTATAATAAATTAGAAAGAAAACAAAATTACTTTTGATCTTTTGCCCTTTATGTGCTGTACTGAGATGCATGTGGTACATGTTCTAGTGGCATCTACTTTAATGGAAATAATGTGAAAAGTTAAGTAAAAGGAAACAGGAGAACCTATATGAAATTAAGAAGTCAAAAGCTCACAGCCGTTTCTTAAAATAAAGAGGAGAAATTCTTAATAAAATATTGTATACTTCCTTGAGCTCTCTCTCTATCCTTTCCTGCATTTTTATTTTCCAGGAAAGAAAGGGCTCTCCTTTTTCATCCAATCCAAAAAGAAAAAAAGAAAGAAAAGAAGCTCGTTATTTCAGGTTCGAGATTCTTATGTATCTGCTTCCTATTACATGGCCCTGACAGCTTGGAACCTTGGTTCCTTTGGGAGGAACTGCTGCTGAACGTAAACAGACATATAATCACCAAAAACAAACTTGGGATAAGTTTCTCCCACTTGTTTTGTTTTCTCCACTAGCTGTGGTGCAGGAGCAATGGTGGCTTTCAAAGATGGATTGTAAAACGAAGCAATCGGTCTCCTATTTCCATCAACGGAGCGCAAAACTCGGTGCCAAGCACTCTTGTACCGGCCATTGCTTAGGACCTCTATCTGATCACCGGTGTTGATAACTATGGCGTTTGGCAAAGGCTGAACATCAATCCATTTCCCATCTTTCAGGACTTGAAGTCCCCCCACCTTGTCGTCTTGGAAGAGTAAGATCACGCCGCCTGCATCGGTGTGAGCTCGAAGCCCCTTCACTTTCTCAGGGTGAGGACATGGTGGGTAATGACTAACCTTGGTTCCAAAGAAGGCATTATCACCGTCTCCATCATTGAATGCCGTCTTGATGTATCCATTTGGTAATCCCAAGTTTTCATCCATAACTTGCATCACCTTTTCAGCTAATTTCTTCAACTCAAATCTGTAGTCCTTCATAATTTCCCTGCCATAAACATCAACAATTAACATTATACATTAACATACACATGCAAGCAGATCAAACATGAAATGCTTACTGGAATCCAGGTGTTTTGGATGGCCACTCATTATCATCTAACAGAGTGACAACATCTTCCCAATCTGCATCCTCCAATGTTACACCGCGCTCGTCCAACAACTCCACCACCTTTGACTTGTTGAAATTCTCTTCACGTTCCATCTTATAAAACTCAGATGAAACCTTCTTCACCCTCTCCAGCAACTCCACGGGGATTCCATGGTTCACCAGCTGCAACACAAAGTACAAAATTTTACACTTTGAATACACAAATAAACCAAAACCAATGCCGAATTCCCTTCCCACAGACAATGATAAGAAAAGGGTACCTGAAAGAAACCCCATTCTTGGCATGCATTTTCGATCTGAGCCAACGTTTTGGCCCTGTCATCACCATTGAGCTTAGAGAAATCAATCACAGGAACTGCCATTGAAATGATAGGAAAAGAAAAGTAATGAAAAGTGGTGTTAAAAAGATGAGTAGAAATGTTTAGCTAAGTCTGCAGTTTTTGTGGTTGAAAGGAGAAGAGGATTAGCCCTATTTATAGCAAAGCTAAAGCAAGTTTTCCCGCCATAATGGATCCGTCAACCATTTTTTTTCTCTCTCTCGAAGTAGCCGTTGGGATGATGTATGGGACGGTGAAACAATACTGATTAATTAAATCAATAAAAACCAGGTCAATGCTTTGAGATGTACTCACCGGCAATCAAAAGAAAAAAAAAATAGAATGATAACATTTTTTATGTAAGTTTAGAGGTTCAAATTTTGATATTGTGAATGTTCTAACTATATTTTTTTTATAAAAAGTAATTTAATACTATACTATTTAATCAAATTTTATAACTTTTAATCCATTTTTTTCTTAATTGTCAATTATTATCTCCCTTTTAAAAAATCTCTTTAATGATCAATAAGTAGCAAATTAGATACTTGTTGGTAACTGTTGGCACGTACCAAACCATCCTTCAAGTTTATGGAATGAATATGATAATGCTCTCTCAAATGTGTGGAACTGGAGTCACCTATCCAATTATTGGTCCCTATTTTATTAAACCCCAATGTCTTATTTTCACCATAATAAATCGACATGCCAAGTGTCATTATTCTTCATTCATGTGCACTTCTTTATTCATTTCTAAATTAATTTACTTGAGGTGGGCTATCTATTATCATTATTTTTGAAGTTGTACCAGAGATGAAAGTTCAATTTTATGTTAAGAATGTAAATTCCTAAAAAATTATATAAAAAAATTAGTGGTGCGAAGTTAAATTATTAATAAGAAATTAAGAAATATATCTAAATTATATATGAATTAGAAATTTCTAGGAATACAACCAGGACGAACGCAAGGTTTTATGTTAGGAGTACAAACTTAGAAAGTTATAATATAAATGTAAAAATATAAAAGATGCAAAATTAGACCATCAATAAAAAATATAAAAAAAACACCTAAATTATATAATTGAAATTTCTAAAAGATACAACTGCACCCTCAACATCCCCTCAACCTATTTTGTCGCCCTTATATATATATTCGAATCCAATACCTCTAAAGAAAGTATTTACTACTAAGACCAACTTAATAAGTTGCAGTATTCTTTGTTACTTGTACTTGAAACCTTTGCGGAGTCCAACATTTGCCTTGGTATGCCGTAGATCTTGTAGGGTGTAGCCGGCATTACCGTCTCCATGAATTGATGCACTGTTATACATGTTCATGTAGTAGGCGTAGTTCAAGGGTTAAGCAAAACAAGGTCAAACTTCTTATTATAATTATAATCCTAATAAACAAAGCTTATCCCATATTATTGCATTGTCAACTCCATTATATACTCTATTCCAGCTTCTTTTCTCTCCTTTTTATTGTTATCGTTAATTTGGGAAGGAGGAGGCTATTAAGGTTTAAATTACATAAAGGAATCTCGTATAAATTAATTCTATTATAAAAGTGGATCATTTAATTAGTCTTTACATAAATTTATTGAGTGACTTTAGTAGTAAATATGAATATTATTTTCTTTAGAGAATTCAAGTTCAAACAATTATGTCTGTAAGATGCACGTACATTGATAATAATTAAGAAATGTTATAAACAAATATTACTTTATAATTTTCACGTAAATTCAAAACAGCACAAATGATTCATGTGCAAACTTGCATCATACATGTATTTGAATTTTTCATAACATCTTACGATATATATAAAACCTTAATAATTTGTACTCTAATATAAAATCATGCACTCGTCCTAAATTATATGTAACCCTATTATAATTTTCTAATAGAACATACTTATTCCATGAACTTTATTGAACACATAACATCACATATTTAATTATAACAATGTTTAATGTGAGATTACTTCATAACTAATCCGATTATTTTTAAGATATACGCCAGCAAACTAAGATCACAAATTAAATTAAATTTATTGATGTACTTTGTTTGTACCTAGAAATTAAGCACTGTATAAAGAATACATGATGGATCAAACTGACAAGATTGCATGCATAATTGGCATGTTTTGGATCTTATGATACACATTGATCATGCATGCATGCATACATGGTTCTAATCATTAACTATCCAGCTCTATGCTTTGATTAAATTATTCTCTCATTAATTTATGCCACTTTGTTTCAGGGGCGAATCTAAAAGGTTGGCAAGGCCCGGGCACCTAATATTTGTCAAATTTCCTTTTATCCCTGTCATGTTTTCGCAAATTTCATTTTAGTTCTCTTAATTAATAACTAAAAAAAGATAATTTTTGTCCCCCCCAATTTTCTAAAGTTTTTAATATGATTTCCTTTTATAAAATTTGTAAAGTTTTTGTTAATTTTGGTAAGATTTTTTTTTGTTTATTTTGGTGAACTAATACAAAGTAGTATCTAAATGTAAATTTGTTAAAAAAAGTTAAGTGATTGTATATAAATATAAAATTTATGACAAATTTTTTAATAAATATAAATTTGTTTAAAAAGGAAAAGACTATAAACATGGATGGTTAAAATTGTATTGTTCAGTTTATGGTAATATTTTATTTATTTATAATGATTAAGGGTTAAATTGATTAAAAATATCGATTCCATAAACAACCTTAAAAATTATATTTAACTAAAAAAACCCTTAAACTTGACCTTGAATTACTTGTAAATTATTGAATCAAATGCTCATTTTTTTTGTTCGTATTTGAGCCCTTTATCTTACTTAGTAACGGTTGAAGTTGGTGATCTATCATCATATCTTATTAAAACAAACATATTTTAATAGAAAACATTATTTAAAAAAACTAAAATTTAAGTTTTTAATTGTTTTTTGAAAAAAACGAACTCATTAAATGCATAAAAAGTGCACATTGCATTATTTTATTAACTGCCAGCTGAAAAGGTTTTTGAATTATATAATAATATTTTCATTATAATAATAAAAATCGTTGAAAAGAACAAAGCCGTCTTTCATTAATTACTTGTCCGTGGAGCTATATTAATTAATAAAAAATACTTAGGAACATGGATTTGTATGCTTTTTTCGGGCTTTACATTATTTAATTATTTACTTTTATAATATGGTTAGAGATATGCACAAGAAGCAACTTCCCTTAACTAACAACAGAAACAACCCTTCCCGTAATATTTAATTAACTCATATTTAAACCCATTAAACAATATTAATAATAAAAAGAGATATTATTTTATTTTGATATCTCGAGTTTAAATAATTATATTTGTAAAATATATATCCATTTATTATCAATTAATTAATTTTTTTAAATAAATATTATCTTATAATCATCATTTACTTATAAAAAAATAATAATTAATATTTAATTTCATAATTGGTATTTAGATTCATTCCCCCCAAGACATTGTGCGTTGAGAGAAGTGTTATTGCATGAACCAATGATTGTGATTTAAATTAAATTATAATTTATTTATTTTTTTCAATGCTTAAAATTAAAGAAATAATTAAAGCCTCTCTTGTTCTTTCACATGGTGCTGACTAATGGGTGTTTCTGATTAGAAAACAGTTGTTTTCATGACAAAGAAATGGTCTAGGGAGTATGTACTTTGATTATGTCTTTCCCGTACATTTTTATTTAAAAAATATACCTACTTATTTAAATATATATATTTTTTTATTAAAATTTATTAATATGCATGAACAAGTTATCTCGGTAGTAAAAAAATTATCATTGTTTTTGGATATATGAACTGCAAAACTACACCGTTAGCACTGACTGGAAATATAAACAGTAATTAAAAGGAACAAATTCGTAAACCGTGTCGTGGCAAAAACCATTGCCTTAGAAACGAATTCGCCCCGATGTGTGTAATCGCTGCAGTAGGTGGACCGTCCCCCAAGGTTAACACGGTCGCTCCGAATTCAGTACACCCGAAACCGGAGTGGACTGCTGGTGGTATTGCTCTTCTGATTGGAAAGCACTCAGAGAGAACTCACAGAGAGAACTGTAGAAAACACTTTTGTAAGTGAATTGTGAATGTTTGAGAGTAAGTTGAGAAGCTGAATATAGCTCTCTATTTATATGCTATTTAAATATATATTTCTTTCAAAGAGAAATTCTTCAAGAATTTTCTCTAAAAAGATAGTATCTGCGCGGACGTGTCGAAGACACAAATTACCACGAGCCGAGCTGAGCCGATAATATCTTTGTAATTGCCTCAAATTAAAAAAAATTATCAATGTCAACCGAATGGGTTAGTAAATTTACCTATTTAAAATAGGGGTTTCTGTCCATTGTATGATTTTTTTAATTTTATAAATATGATAAAAAATTTATTATTACTATTACATTATCTACCATTAAATTAATATCATTTATGATATATTTTTTCTTATATAAATTTTTTCACTGTTCGAATTATGAAGAAAAATTCAAGCTTCACTAATTCAACACGAGTCAAGATGTTTTCTTTTCTATCTTTGGGTCCCCGGACATTTTTTTTTAATTTATCTTCTAATATTTTGGTTCTCTTTGGAATTTTAGTCAAGATGTTCCTTTTAAGATTTTGGTTGAATTGGATTTGTGATATTTAACAGTTGACTATATAGTATTAAATTGTAACTATGAATGTTGCGAACGTTACAAGGTGAGTTATTTTATAAAAATAACTATGTTTTTGTATTATGAATGTAGTTGTAATGTTGCTGTGATCTTAAAAAATAATACGTCATTACACTGTGTTTTAGTACTATTTGAGACAATTAAGGAGGAGATAAGAGAACAAAGATGGGAGTGATGGTTCCGTTGACAGGTACAAAGCACTTTTTATTACTAAAGGGTTTTCAGCAACACCCGAGGTTGATTTCAATGAAACATTTAGTTGAATCATTTGGTTCTCAACTTTGCGCCAACTCGATGTCAACGATGCTTTTTTTTTTCAATGCACTCTCTCACAAGATGTGTTTATAGCCTAACCTCTAGGATTCAATGATCGAGATCATGTTTTTAAGCTTCGCAAAGTCATCTATGGACTCAAACAGGTTTCACTGCATGTTATCATGAATTACGCCAATTTTTATTTATATATGGTCTTTGTAATTCCATTGTCGACATCTGTTTGAAGGATCTTGGAAACTTGCATTACTTTCTCGGTGTTAATGGTTTATTTTTTAGTCAACAAAAGTATATGATTGATCTCCTTTAGAATACTCATATGACTGAAGTGAAATTGATCTCTACACCTCTAGTTGCATGTTCGACTCTTACACTACATATTGGAACTCCTTTATCTAATCCCACAGAATATTGAACCATTGTTGGAAGTCTTCAACATCTCTCGTTAATCCGTCCAGATATCACTTACACAAATAAGCTCTCTCAATTCATGCATCAACCTACAACCGAGCACTGGACTGCTGTCAAATGTCTATTTCGCTATATTCGTGGTACCTTAAATCATGGTATCACATTCACTCTCATTTCTCTCTTACTCTTCATGCGATCTCAGATGTTTACTAGGCTTGAAACAATGATGATTATATTTTTACAGGTGCTTACATTATTTATCTTGATCGTAATATTCCAATATCGTGGAGCTCCACTGAAGCCGAGTATCAATCTATTGTTGCCACGACCGTGAACTACGTTGGCTTTGCTCCTTCCTTATTGAACTGGGCATCATCATACCACATCAACCAATAAAATATTGTGACAATGTTGGGGCCACAAATCTGTGTGTCAATGCGGTGTTTCATTCACGCATGAAACACGTTGCTTTAGACTGTCATTTCATACATGAACAAGTGCAAAATGGTTTTTTCCGAGTCTCTCATGTCTCCACCCCTGATCAACTTGCTGATGTCCTTATCAAGACAACAACTCGTCACTGTTATGAACAAGATCGGTCTCACTCCAACGCTGTCCATCTTGTAGGAGCTTGATAAGATAGGTTAACCAAATGAATTTTTAAATTTCAAATAAAAAATTGTTGTGATTTTCCTTAATTTAAATTATTTAGTTCAGTTTGAATTCTTTATCTTTAGGCTTTAGCCGCTTTCTTCTGCCCTCATAAATGTGTCAAATGTTAGTAAAATACAACACATATTTTCACAACCTTCTCCACTTCCTTCCTTTACAGAAAGTATATAAAGAGTGAGAGAGCTCTTTCCTCTCTTAAAATTTATGGTCTAATAATATTTTAGGTTTTTATTAATTTATAACTTAACTCAAATTAGATTTTTGTCCTATTTCTTAGATTAAATACTTGATTAATTCTTATTGTTTTGATATTAATAATTCATTAACCCAATATTTGATCTTCAACTCTATTGATCTTAAATAATTTACTTCTCTTAATATTTGATTTTAGCTCCGTTATCGCAAGAGACGGCGAGGAAATAGTGAAATTAAGTTGTTGAGGGTGTAATTATAAAAAGAGATCTTCGATTTGGGTTCAAGAAACAAAACTTTATTAGCCATGAGAGGTGACGAGAATTGCAGCATTTTAACATGGAAATTTGCATATTAGAATCACCTGAAGCAAAAAAAGGTTGAGAATTGCAACCATTGGCGTTAATTTGGTTGTGCTTAGAGGCTGATAAAGTAAGTTCATTTAGGTTGAAGATGAAGTGTCGTGTGAATTATGGTTGTTCGAAGGGGTCTTAAAGTGCATTTTAATGCTAAACTTTTAGGGTTTATACCATATCACAACCAGCAATTAAGAAGGGTTTTTGTTGGCTGTTAATACGGAACATTTTGTGTGTCGGTAAGTTTCTCGGCTGACTACCATATAAGATTTTTTTAAGGTTGAGCTTAGAAACTTGATTGTGTGCATGATCATGAAAGAAGAAAACTGAATAAATCGTAGTCTTGTGGTGGGGAAATTGAATAATTTGATAGACGAAATAAAATTGATAAGATGAAAGTTTAATTTCTTAAGTCGTTTTAGATTAGAACTAAACTGATAGAACAAGTTTTAAGGGCTAAAAGTGTTACTAAACCAACTAAAGAGGTTTTCTTGAAACCTTTATTTGAACCAATATTTGAGTTCAAGAATGGAATCTTAAAATCACGAATCATCAAATTTTCATTTGAATATTCTGGAGGTTTGTTGTCACGGTAGCAACAATCGAAGATAAAAACCTTCTACAAAAGAAATAATTCATATAATTTTTAAGTCGGAGATCAAATTAACTGAAAACTTTACGTACATAATAATTTCAATAACAATGATAAATTCAACTGTTTGATTATTATTATAATATCAATGCTAAAAATAACAATAGAGGTGTAAAACCCATTTAATTTTAAACATGCCCATAGATTCCAAACCATGTTTTTTTACATCTGATTTACTTGTAAATTAAAACACTTTTAATCATTAAATAGAAACTTGAGCCAAGTGAAATCAGCCAGATTAAGAAAAAAAAGGAAAATAGTTCCAGATGCGAAGGACTGGATTATTGAAGCAAAATGCACTGATTTAGAAGTGTTTGAAGAAGATAGCATATGGCACAGAGCAAAAGTTAAGCCGTCTATCTAAAAATATCAAATGCTACAAGTATAAACTCAAAATAAGTCATTCACTTAAAACTTTTAACATAAATCAAGTTTTCCTTCACCGCAGCTCACAAAAAAAATCCCATGATTTTTAATCTATATATATAAACAAGCTGGGGGGAACTTTAAGAAATCAATGGCGTTGTACAACAGAGATACTGTTCAATGTAGGTAAAATCTATGGTACAACCAAAGGTTTTGTCGAGCATTGCATTAGGTATGCAGGAAAAAGTGCAGGATTACCTCGAATTAATGTGAAGCTTATTGGCCAAAACCACAGAGCTGATCAATGGAAACCTTTTCCCTTTACAATCTGAGTTGCTAATAAACTTTGTTGGTCACTCTACCTTGCACATCAAATAAGAGTATTTCTTCATGAAACAGACATTGAGCACTTGCATTAAACATGAGAGTGAAAATGGAATAACATACGATACCCTTTTCAGAAAGGTACTATTTGAGCTTTCTTCCATGTACCACTGAAGAGACCGGGCACAACAACTTTTTTCCAATAAAATGCAATAGGTACATTCCTGTAGGGTGAACATAATCAAATATCAAAAAGGAAAAATGGTCTTAGGTAATGTTGCAGAGACTATAGCTGACTCTATGCTCGCAGCAAATACCGAGTTCACATCCTCCGAATTTTTGGGTATTTCGTACAATGAAGTCTGGTGATAGTTGAGATATTTTCAGATTAAGTGATAGTTTGGCTTTAAGCAACTTGTTGACAGACAAGATACCAAGTGTAGTTAATGTTCTGGTAGGGACATGTATTTTTTATAGTATATATATGAATGAAGAGCTAAGTTAAAACACTATCCCAGCATATGGGGGTGATGTCGAAACCATTAGTACATCCAAAGGAGAATCAAAATAACTGGGCTTAAGTCTCTAGTTTAGATGCTCAGGCAACTAGTAAGGGAGCAAACCTCCAAATAATCATAAAACCAAAAGAGTTGTGAAGCAAGCCCATCTAGAATTAATAGGCAAATATAAGAAGAAACAAACCTTAGCTTGACCAGCATCAGCTTTCATGACAAAAATAGCTCTTGGGATTCCATAGGTGATGACCAATAATGTAAGAGTGATTCTACAGTTAACCTTCGTGCTGCACTGAGCATTGAGATAAAAAATCGACACCCATCAATTTTATATTCTTCAAGAGGATTTCTGTGCCCAAAGCTTCTAACATTTACCTGTCAAAGACTGCCGTAAGAATGAATCTATATTTGAAAGTTGAAGCTAACAAAAACAACATATTCGGATTAAATACCGCAGAACTAAGCCTATTCATGTTCGCGAGATGATCCCTCCAGAAACAATCTAGTGTCTTGACAAGAACTGCTCTCTGAATTTCAATAATAAGAAAATTAGCAGCAAAAAAGGCAGGACATAAACAAGATCTTGGATGACATGTGAGGCAGTATAAGGATAGACTAAAAAGGAAGCAGATAACTAAGAAAGCAGTTGAAATGGGCTCGCCAAACAACTTATACTTCACTTTACTGAAGCAAAACAAGTCAAGCACAGATATTTACAGCAATCAACTAGGATTTGGAAGTGAAAAAAAAGTTAGGTCAAAAGAATACCAAGCCATGTTGCCACAAGAACTGTCACAGGTTCAAACCATAGATTGGAAAATTACTCAAATTATTATAAAATGTAAGAGAAACACCTGACCTCAATATCTTTTATGTATGCATCATCATAACCAGATTCTTGTACAGTGTTCAAGTATGTAGAAATCAAAACATCCCCAAGGTATTTACGAAGAAGGTTAACTTCTGGCCGATACCTCCCATTCCTAGAGTAAATGTTAAATGGCTATTATTCAGAATCAAAATACTGTCGAACTAAACTGAACTACAGATGCACTGCCATTATCTACTTACTTTGTTGAATCATCAGAGCAAATAGCCAGCCAGCGTTGAAGAGAAGAATTTTTTCTGCGGATTCCTCTGAAGCCATCTGGAGGTTTTGGCAAGTTTGGAAGGTGAAAACTGTCGATATCTACAGAATTTGATTCATGTAGCTGTTTAAGAGATTGGAGTAAATCCTCCTCTGAGATCGCTGCAAATGAGTCTGCAGATACTCCAGGCTATAAGAAATCATGTGATAGGTGGAAATCCTAATCCAATTAGTAACAAATATTCCTAAAGGATATGAAGGAACTCAGATGATGCTTATGGATGAGCTTACCATCTAAAAGCTTCCCTGCAATACTGATGAACTCTTTCAAAAGCTTAGCCAAACTCCACTTTCTTGGATGCTACATAATGAATTAGTTTGATTAGTCTAAAAAGATAAAGAGTACACAGCATCTGAAGAGAAAAAAAAACTCACTACCTTCAGTGGATCAGCATTCCCAAAAACAGTTTCATCTACCACTGCTTGCATGTACCTGTTAAGCAACTTTTCTATTTTAATGTTCAAAAGACGGATAAAAAAATAATCTTCAAAAAAAGTTGATAGAAAGCACATTGACAAGGTGGATTATGCCAGAACAAATTAATAATTGCCAACATGAGTTAGATTTACACGTATAACATTTTCCTGAACGCCGCGTTATCAAAGACATCTGTGTATAAAAAGGAAATCTAGCATGATATAACAAAAATCAATTGATGAAATTGACAAAAGCCATGAATTTTACTGTAATTCACTCTTCTTAAACGTGTAGGGAAACTTACAATTATATATACAAGACTAGGCCTTATCTTAGGTAACTTCTAAACTAGTTAAGAGACTAATTGTAGTAATAAAAAGAATCCATTAGATTTAGCGATACTAACTAAATAGAATATTTACAAATCCAACTCAATCTTCTTAACTTAGGTAACTGATCTCTGACACTCCCCCTCAAGCTGGGAGCATGGATATCTTCCATCCTATGCCTGTTAACTTCTGAAAATACTTGACAAGTTTGTCTGCAACTTGATTTCTAGTGGTCACATAGGGAGTACAGATTAGGCCACTGTCAAGTTTCTCTTTTATGAAATGTCTATCCACTTCAACATGTTTTGTTTTGTCATGTTGAACTGGATTATGAGCAATGTTGATTGCTGATTTGTTATCACATTAGAGTTTCATTGGTTCATTCCACTTTACCTTCAACTCTTCTAAAATAATCTTCAGCCATAATAACACACAAATTCCCAATGCCATAGCTCTAAATTTAGCTTATGCACTTGATCTAGCCACCGCATTCTGTTTTTTGCTTCTCCAAGTAACTAAGTTACCTCCAAAGAAAGTGCAATAGCTTGAAGTTGACCTTCTATCAATTATGGATCCTGCATAATCTGCATCTGTGTATGCTTCCAGAGTCAAGTTTCTTCCTCTTCTAAATAGAATTCCTTTGCCTAGTGTACCCTTCAAGTATTGCAAAATTTGGACTACAACCCTTAGGTGTGATTCCTGGGATTGTGCATGAATTGGCTCACAACCCCAACAACATATGATATGTCTGGTCTGGTGTGTGACAAATAGATAAGTTTTCTCACGAGTCTCTGAAAAAACTTCTGTCAACTGCCATATCATACTCCTTTGAGTCTCCAAGCTTGTGATCGACTTCTATAGGAGTTTATGCTGGTTTACATCCTAGTTTTCCAGTTTCCTTCAACAAGTCCAAAGTATACTTTTGCTGAGATATAAAAATCCCTTGCTGTGAGTGAGCCACCTCAATACCAAGGAAGTATTTTAATCTTCCAAGGTCCTTCACTTCAAGCTCTTTTATAAGACACTTCTTTAAATTACCAATTCCTTCAGAATCATTAACTGTAACAATTATATCATCTACATACACCAACAATGCAATTACTCCCCCTGAAGAAGAGTTTTTCACAAACATAATATGATCACCTTGACTCTGTTTGAAGACTTGTTTTAGCATTACTTTAGTAAATCTCCCAAACCAAGCTCTTGGTCATGGTATAAAAGGTTTTAAAAGTAGAGGTAACATCAAACTTCTGTTTTAGTAGATAAATCCAAGTAACCCGAGTATAATTGTCTATAAAAGACACAAACCTTCTAGCCCCAGTTGTGTAAGGAATAGTGGAAGGCCCCCAAACTCACTGTGAATAAAGGTAAAAGGACTGTTGGTCCGCTTATAACTTGCTGGAAAAGAGGAACGTTTATGCTTTGCAAATTCACAAGCTTCACAATGAAATCCTTCAACATTTAAGGAATTACACAAGGAGGGAAGCATAGTTTTTAAGAGTCTAAAAGGTGGGTGACCAAGGCGAAAGTGATGTAGCCAAATTTGGTCTTTATTGGTTGTAGATTTGGATAAAAAAGACAATGGTTGAGTATTCAAAACTCTAGTTGGTCCACTAAGGCCTTCAAGGTAGTATAAGCCATTTATTTCCCTAGCATGCCTAATCATCATATTCGTTTCTTGCTCCTGAAAAATACATTGTGTAGGATGAAATAAAACGCTGCAGTTAGTGTCTTTGATAAGCTTTGGAATAAAGACAAGGCTAGTGAGTAGTTTTGGCACATGTAGGTCATTTTTAAGCAATAGGGTTTTACTGATGGCAATATCTCCTTGGCCAACAACGGTTACCATAGGTACATCTGCAACTGTGATTTTCTTGTTACTAGAGCATGGTATGTAGGTGAGGAATTTTAGTGATGAATTAGTCATGTGATCAGTGGCTCATGAGTCAATTACCTAGGAGTTTTGGGTAGGTATGTGGGTGGATGATTCCAAGGCATTAAAACTCTGAGAAGAGGAAGAAGATATACAGGAGAAAACAAGATTGCATGTACCTATAGAGGATGATTTTTCTAAGGATTCCAATAAGTTCTTCAATTTTTCTACTTCTTCCCTGTTGAATTCAATAGATTGTTCATTAGACTCCTTAGCCACATGTTTAGTTGCATAGGCTCTGCTTTGTCCTCTTACTGAGCCCCCTTTCTCTGTGAAATTCTTATTTGCAATCTGAGGCTTTCCATGTAAACTCCATCATTTCTCTTTGATGTGACGAGGTTTTTTGCAGTAAGTGCACCATAAGGAGTCCTTGTTCCTTCTGATTTGTCTTCAATATTCTGCTACTCCAGACGATTTGGTCCATTAAGAACAACCCTAGTAGCCAAGGCTGAACTTTTTACTTGATTGTTTTCAACCACCATCACTCCTCGTCTTTCTTTTTCAGTACGAATGATAGCAATAGTTTCATTCAGTGAGGGAAGGTCTTTTTTTCCTAGAATCTGGACCCTTACTGCATCAAATTCTATATTTAGTCCAGCAAGAAAATCATAAATCCCATCTTTTTCTACAAACCTCTTTAGAATTGTTGCATCCTCACTGCATTTCATCTTAATGCATTGATAGTAGTCCATTTCGTGCCATAGATTCTGCAACATATTAGAATACTCTGTAATAGATTCGTTTCCTTGTTTAGTAGCTAAAATCTTGCTCTTGATTTCATAAATCTAAGTAGCATCTCGAACCCTCGAATAGGTTTGTTTTACAGCCTCCCATATCTCCTGGGCGGTTTCCAAGAAACATGGAAGTGTCACTAATTTCAGGCACCATTGAATTCCACAACCAAGACATAACCAATGAGTATTATTCATCCCAAGCCTCAAATTTGGAATTTCCCTTCTTAGGACTCGTACCAAGGAGATGACGGAGTTTACCTCTCCCTTTTAGGGAAGTCCGAAACAATTGTGACTACTTAAGGTAGTTTTTTCCATTAAATCTATAAGCGGCTTGTATGTTTTGTAAGTCACTTATCGAATTAGAGTGACTTCCCTCACCCATTGTGCATCCTTGAGCAATTTCTATACTACTGCAATCACCTGTATTGCCTATATCTCATTGATCAAGTGCCATATTCTCTTAAGAAACAAACACTCAACAAGAAGATTAAGACCTAAAAAAGAGTAGCTCTGATACCATGACAAAAGTCATGAATTTTACTGTAATTCACTCTTATTAAATGTGTAGGAAACTTATAATTATATATACAAGCCTAGGCCTTATCTTAGGTAGCTTCGAAACTAGGTAAGAGACTAATTCTAGTAATAAAAAGAATCTCTTATATTTAGGGATACTAACTAAATAGAATATTTACAAATCCAACTCAATCTTCTTAACTTAGGTAACTAATCTCTGACAGAAATCTTACTAGCAAGAAAAGGTAAAAAGCGATGTTAAAAAGCTATCACAATTGTTCTCTACATGATAACTGTTGTTCGTAGTCAAAATATCATAATCTTCCTAGTTGGTACGCCTTAACTTGCATTATAGCTCCTATGTGCCAAAATAACCGAAATGCACTCTTACCAAAGAAACTTGAATGATGGGAAATAAGGGGACCAACCATGCAATTGAACCAGGAATGTCACTCTGCCCTGTTCTTTTTCATCTTTAAGATTTTTACATGTAGAACATAATCATACTGATTAGCTTAAACTTCCAAATTACCCGGAATATCAATGTCATTATCCTAGTCAAAATTGACTAAAAGACACACAAAAGCAGTGAAGGTCAATGAAAGCTATAATTTGTAAAATATATTGCTTGGTCTCAAATGACAATTTATAAAGGCTTTTTTCATCTCAAATAACCTAATTTCCAAATTTAGTATCTTAGATCTAGTTCAGATTCCAAGACAAACAACAGTGAGATCGACTCGCTTTCATATTGTTCCAATCCACACTGACTTGATATGAGATACATGCTAGAAAGAGGAATAGCCTGGAGGTTAAGTTTTCAGAGGAGGAAGTAAGGGAGGCTATTTTCTCTTCGGACAACTCTAAAGCTCCAGGTCCCGACGGTTTTACGATGGGTTTTTTCAAGAATTTCTGGCCAACTCTGAAGGTGCAAATAATGAGGTTTATGGATGATTTTTATTGTGGGAGAAAATGGGATCATGGGGTTAATCATGCGTTTATTTCCCTGATCCCAAAGAAAATCCGGAATTTATTGAAGATTATAGACCTATAAGTCTCGTTGGCAGTCTCTATAAAATCATCTCCAAAGTTTTAGCGAGAAGACTAGTTTCAGTAATTAAAGATATTGTAAGCCCTTCACAGTTTGCTTTTATTCCAGGGAGACAACTTTTAGATTGTGCTTTTCTAGCAAACGAAGGCATAGACTGTTGAAGGAAGCAAGGGCTGCAAGGGGTAGTTTTCAAAGCTAATTTTCAGAGGGCGTATGACTCGGTTGAATGGCCAATTATCTTTAGATTAATGAGACTCATGGGCTTTGGGGAGAGATGGGTTTCCTGGATAAAATGTTGCCTCTACGGCGTCTATCTCGGTGTTAGTGAATGGCTCTCTTACTGAGGAGTTCTCGATGGGTAAAGGGTTGAGACAAGGTTGTAGTTTGTCTCTTCTCTTGTTTAATATAGTGGGGGAACTTTTAAATCGTATGCTAATGAAAGCGGCTGATTT